TCCAACCTGGCCTTGAACACCTCCAGGGATGGGGCAGCCACAGCTTCTCGGGGCAACCTGCCCCAGGGGATCACCGCCCACACAGGGAAACATTTCTTCCTGATATCTAATCTAAAAATCTCCCTCTTGCAGACATCTAATCTAGTTCTCCCTCTTTCAGTTTAAAATCTCCCTCTTTCAGTTTAAAACCATCACAACTTCGTTTTAAGTCTGAGTGCAATTCAAAGCTGTTTTCAAACCAGAATTTGTACCAAAGTCTCAATGGAGTCTCAGACAGAGCCATCAGACCTCCCCTTCACCTCCCAGACCACCAGGGAAGCACTGTGGCACACAAAGGAAACAAGACCAACACTAGAAGGAAATAGAGCTTGATTAGGCCAATTTACCATAGAATCATTATGGCTGGAAAAGACCTTTAAGATCATCAAGTCCAACCGTTATCTAACTCTTCTGGGCCCACTTCTAAACCATGTCCCTGAGCACCATATCTAGACAGCTTTTAAATACACTCAAGGATGGCGATTCAACCACTTCCCTGGGCAGCCTGTGCCAGTCTTTGATAACCCTTTCAGTGTAGAAGTTTTTCCTAATGTCTAACCTAAACCTCCCCTGGCACAACTTGAGGCTGTTTCCTCTTCTCACAAGTTACAACCGATAGGACAAGACACCAACACATACCTCTCCACACCCTCCTTTCAGGTAGATGTAAAGAGCAATAAGGTCTCCCCTCAGCCTCCTTTTCTTCAGACTAAACAACCACAAGTCCCCCCAGCCACTCCTCATAAGACTTATTCTCCAGATCCTGCACCAGGGTCTGTACCCACAGAGGTCCATCTCATCACAGACCTCACACAGAGCCTTTGGGAACCACACTCCCCACATGGTTCCCTCCTGAGAGAACAAGTTCAGGCTTTAGCATATTTAGGGCTTGCCTGGAGGGAACAGCCAGTTAAAAGAACATCACCTGGTGCACAGTGAAACAGCATCTGCACCAAGTCTCCCAAAAGTACCAATTTTCTAGCACAAAAGCCCAGATCAAGTACAACCATGCCCTTGTGAAGGAAATCCATAGGGGGTCATAGCAGAAGCCTCCAGTTCACACCTGCCCTCCCTCTTCTGGTCTATCTAGGAACCAGGCAACACGCTCATCATCCTTCAAAAGCTCTCCAGGCTGAGATTTCTAAGCTTAACAGGTTGTCTTTAAAACTGCACTAAGCCAACCTCACATCACATACGCCAGCAGCTTCCCTTCCCTGAAGACCACCCACCTGCTGCCCCCAGGTGATGTTTATAGCTGCCCTAAACCACCCTGCAACCCCACAAAAAGAAGTGCTGCCCACACCACTCAATTTCAATGCCTGAGTGACTTAAGCGACTGGAGAACAACGAAGGGCCTACAGCAAGGAAAAGGCCGAATTAAGTTGAAAAAAGCCTTGCTAAACACTCCAACCTGCTTTGCTTCCCTCAATTTCTTACCTTATTAATGAGTCGGCATCAATGGATCACAAATGATCCAATCGTCTCCATCCTTTCCCAACAGTAGTCTTCTGCACAGATGCCAGAGACCCCCCCCTTGCCTGAGTTCAGATTACTATCTCCTTCTCAGCTGCTCGCTGAGCACTTCCACACAGCTACTTAACACATCTCTTACCTGAAGTGGATTAGAATGAGTCCTGCTTTCAATGGTTAGCTGCACAACAGGACTGAATCACAGAATTGTAGAATCATAGACTAGTTTGGGTTGGAAAGGACCTTTAAAGGTCACCTAGTCCGATCTCCCCTACAATGAACTAACTTCTACTTAAATTAGAAGCAGCTGAAGCATGGAAGACAGATAGTTCCCTTTGAAATTAGCCCAGAAAACTTGTCCAGCCTTTAAATGGCAAATGGCACTTTCAGATGCTGCATGCTGAAATGTCTCCTGTGCTCATGAACCAGTCTTTCCACACACAGTGCACACTCTGCTATGTTACTCTTGTCCTACCTCTCCCCCCAAAGAGGTCAAATATCACCACAAGCCCTGAGGATCTATTAGCCTTTGTTACCTTCAAGACACACACCAAAAAAAAGGATGCTACACAGCTTCATTTAAGTAGTCTTTGCAGCAAAGCACTAAGCTCAGAGCTCAGTTAAATGAGATTAAGACTCTACTCAGTGGGTCCCATTCTGGAAGCTTTGCCATTTGCAAGGAGCAATGGACTCCAAGGTAAAAACAGGTCAAGTTCTGTCACCCTCCACAGAGATCAGTCTTAATTAGCTTCCTGACCTGCTGCAAGGAGGCTTTTCAACTATGGTCAGTGCAGATAGCACACACATTTTTGCAAGGGAAGTGTTGACATCCTGCCCAGACTCTTCAAAAACCCAGTGGAAGCACCACTCCTATGAACTTCAGTAGCAACTCCAGGCAGCAGGGATGCATTTTATCAATGGATACCAAGACAGGAGACAGTTCAATAGCCGTTGCCCTACTGCACTGTACTACACTGGTCCCTTCTACACCAGGAGCACAAGACAGGTAAGAGGGAGCAGAGGGCTGGAGGGGAGAAAGAAGACGACAAAAGGAGGGCTGGAAGTGTGAGAGGAGCTCAGCACAAGGACCCCAGGAGCAGGGACCCCAACCGAGGCACTGCGCATGCATGGTCAGGAAACAACCCTGCAAAACAGAGTATGAACATAGAAAATGCATTTTTTGGCCTTTGGCAATGCCAGGAAGACAAGGAGGCATGATCAATTGTGGTACTCCTTGGCATCAAATGGCAGGAAAGCAAGAGGTCATGAGCATCAGACAGAGGCAATCTAGGAAGAAAGAGACCTTTGAGGGGATCCCAGCATGGCTGAGCAGACACCAATGAAAACCACTCATTACAGTTAAATAACACAAAGATGTTGACTGTTGGATTACTAATGGTATCAGGTTGAGGATGAAGGAGAAAGTGAGGCCTGTCACACAGAATAAGTTTCCTCTCTTCCTTGTGCCCCTACCCACATGAGCACATGGTCGGAGAGCAGCCCCAGACTCCTCCCCTCACACAGCCCTATCCATGCCCTGCCACCTGCAGGTTTTTTGCACAGCTTTAAGAGGAAGCTATGGGGAAGAGTCAGAGGAGAGCTGATCCAGCAGGCTTTTACAGCAACCTCACCTCTAGGGACCAAGAATGAACATCAGGATGCCCCACTGTATCAGTTTAGTTTCCACCCCATATCACCATCCAATTTTCTTCACATCCCAGATCAAGCATGCCCATTAGCAACACTGGGAACCTGCAGTGTGCAGCAGCACAGATGATGGATGCTGGCAAAGGTAAGGAGGATGTGTCATGCCTGCCAGTCACAGATCAGCCTGCTACTGCAGGTCATGCCAAATTCCCTTCAAATAAATCTTTTTACATAAACATGTTCTAGCAACACCACACTGATCCATTTTCAGTTTTACTAACTTACACTGAAGGTAGTAAGTCAACAAAGCAAGAGTCCCAACCCTGACTCCATCAGCATCTTCGCTGACATAAACTGGATGAGTTAATGCCTTGTAGTTTATATAAGGTAGAAAACTGTTCCCTTTCCAAGAAAGGCTACAGGTTGTCATGACTTCATCCAGAGGTGCACTAAGAGGATGTGGAAGAAAAAGCATGAATGTTAAAAATATTAATTGCAAGCCGACATTAAACAATTCTCAAACATAGCCCATTTCCATGAAACTTTTGGCAGTCAGCAGTACCACTGGTCATTCTCAGGTAATGGGCGCTGTGAAGAACAGCCAGAAGGACATGTCACTGTAGCTTATATACTACAGAGCAGAGATAGAAACAGCTCCTGCAGGTAAGAGATTCTGGTCTTGGACTGCAAGCAGTTTCATAGACTCATTCACAGCCTGTTTGCACATGCCTGTCCCTCTTCCCCCACCCCTTTTACAGAAGCAGGGAATTCCCGCAGAAACAGACTGCCTAAACAGCCTCCCAGGCAGAACTGTGCCTGACAAAACCAAATACAAGTCACCTTTCAAGAGCTGTGGGTATTTGGTATGAACCAAGTTGGTAAGATCTCCACCATCATCCAAAATCATGTTGAGGGGCTGCCCATCCTTGAAGTACAGGGTCTGCTCGATGCACCACAAGTATTCCTCATCCGTCTCCCCTTTCCAGGCAAACACTGCAGGGGAACAAACACACACAATTAGGCAGTTTCTTAGTCAGCATGTAGTAAAGCAGCCAAAGGAAGATTTCATCAGCAGCTCTCAGTAGCAGAGCCAACAGACAGATGATTATCTGTGCCTGCAAGCCAGAAAAGACATCTGCATCGAAAAAAAGATCTCAGAATGAGCAGAAGTGAAACCACTTTCCCTTCTGTTCCAGTCCACGAAACTGGTCAAAATTTTGAGACATCACTGCTTTCCTTATTTTCCTTCCCTGTTAAGAGAGAAGGCAAAGCAAACTAAAGCAGACTCACATGCCCAACACCACACTTGCTCCCCGATACACCCTACGTTACCAGGAATTAGAAATAGCCACTGGATATATTGATACAGACAAATGAAAACACAACTCTAGCATTTTCTAGCACAGCAGAAAAGAGGGACTAGGCTTTGGCACGAGTTAAGCACCAGACAACAAACCCTTCAGCAACTCTGAGTTTAAATTCTAGTCTCTAGCACAGTGCTAAAATCCAAGCTGCCATGCCTTGTCTGCTCTTATTAGGGCATGTTTCTATATCTGTACATCTACCACCAGCAACATGCTATAACCACTAGCAGTATTTTTGCCTTTCCAGGCATTTCTACTGGCTTCATGCTGTACTTGAGCCCCAGTGGTACTCAGTCATTCAAACATGTATTAGGCACATGATTTACATACCCTAACATTTGGCTAAATTGTAATGTGTTCACTGTTTACACAGAAAATTAACTCTTGAGCCACAAAGAGCCAATCATGCAATCTCCCCTTCTGAAGAAGCGTGCATCAGTATCTCATGCTGTATCCAAAGGATCAGCATTCCTCCAAGGTCTCATAAATTCAGTATGTGAAATGCATTAACAAAAAGAGCAAGTTCCACAAAATGAGGATGCCAAGGGCAGAGGTCAAAAACTTAAACAGTCCACCTGTAAACTGCTCTTCAGTTGAGTTTTGGCTGTTGAGAGCAGTGGGGAAGGCAATATCCTAACATTAGACCTCGAGAGTGCTGCCTGGTCCTTTGACATCACGTGCCAGGGACAGGCAGAGGAGGTGATGCCTGCAGCCAGTAGAGTCAAAGGAGCTGATGAAGGGACCACTTTCTTCTGTTACCTTAGAATGGACCACAGCTGCAGAATGACTTGTGGCAATAGCTAATTATAACAGAAATACAAGACACCTCCCAAAGCAAAGAAACAGGCTGCCAGAAATCAGAATTTAGGCAACATCTGGGTTCAGGCCATGCAGTTCCCTGCACAGAGCCATGAGGACTGTATGTTCTTAAGCCAAGTAACACAGCAAACAGCTTAATGTATTCATACTGTATTCATACCATTCTTCATTGGAAGGTGACAGTAACTAAACAGCAGCATCCTGATAAACCACTTCAGGGATATTAGGCAGCAACACAGCTGGCCTAGCTTTAGCCTGAAAATATCTTGAGTATTGACCCTGTCACTGTAACAGGGCACGCAACAGTTAACATCCCTTCCCCAACCCCCATTTAGCACCAAGCTTGCTGGAAAGCACCAAACAGCTCCATCTATGCACACCTACACACCAATCCATTTAATTACCCAGACCATTCAGTCATCTTAATGACCAGGCTTAAAGCTGGTAACTTACAGCCAGGCTCTTTCATAGCCTAACACCAGCCATTGTCAGGAGTGCTGCACACAGTCTCATGCAACACACCTTGAATCAAATGTCCTGTTTCGTAACAATCACTGCTTCTGATGGGCAATCTCTATCCCGAAGCTTGTTCAGAAGAGCTTGATTTGCACACAGTTTGATTTAGCTCGAGCAGGCAGCTCACCCCAACTCATCAGAGCCAAATTAAAACACGGAAAACTTACCAGGAATACCAGCTTTTGCAATAGCAGCTGCAGCATGGTCCTGAGTTGAGAAAATGTTGCAGCTTGACCATTGTACCTGGAAAACAACCCAAGTTTTGTTTGCTGAACAAAGTTCTGAGATATCAGGCATTCTCTTCCAGACATAGAAGTTAAAAAGGGAGCAAGAGCAGAAAGGTGTATTAGTGCAGATTCCTGCCTTTCTCTTTGCAGTAGCTCTGCAAAGTTAAGGTGAAAACTAAGTATCTGACTAGGCCAGGGAAAATAATGTCAGTTTGAGAGAGAATGTAAAGGAGCTTTAGCTGTGCCACATATTCAGCCATCTCCTTACTGACGAGAGCTTCTGCCAGACAGCCAGAGCGTACATTCAGCTATAGATCTTCAGGAAGTGCACAGTAGGGTGGGTTTAGAATGTTTTGGTCAAAGTTGAGATTTTCAGAACAGCCACATAGCAAGTGTCCACTGAGGAATATGGACATGAAGCAACACACCTGCTGGCACTCAGAAGAGTCAGAAATGCAGCTGAAATGCTACACTTGATCAACAGGCATCCTCCAAGATTATGCTCACCCAACTCCCACTCTGTGCTCCAGCCATGGAAGCTTTTCCAGCTGAGCTAAGCATTTTCCACACAGATTTCATAGCTAGGCTCAGGCACCTAGAAAAGCAACAGCATGTTGCTGAGTTGCATTGAAAAGCATCTGCATACCTACTTCAGCTCCCCAGCGGGCACAGAAACCACCACATCCCAGCACCACACAGGAGTTCTCCCTCTGCTCCCTGCAGGGCTGACTGGCAGATATTTGCACACTTATTTGTAAGAGACCTTGAGGAGGGAGGGCAATAAGGCATAATCCTTCAGCCTGTTTGCAGATACTCATCCCACTTTACCTAGAATTGACACTTCAAAGTAAGGGCTGCAGTGGGACGCACCTCATCTGAGCCTACACAGCCAACACTTGTCAGTGAAAACACACCTGGAAGGAGCACAGGAAAAATGAATTCATGACCTTAAGCACTGTATCTCCTCACCTGGGTTTTTCTAAGCTCCCTCCATATCAGTACAGACGACATCAGGAAGTGTCATGAAATTCAAAGTATACAGAGTATCTATACATTGTTTATACTCCAAGCACCTGATACAAGACAAGTCATTTCAGCTCTGCATCCTCAGATCTGTAACACCAGCTTGTGTAAAGGCATAGACCCTAGAATAACTGGCATATCTGATGGGCTCAGAGCCTAATATTTACATCACTAGTTATGAACAGGATGCATTTTTATTACAATTTTATAATTTATAATCTGAGGCACAGAGTATTTATTCTACCTTTGTTAACCCAGACAAAAAATGGGATACCAAGATTACTATGCAGCAGCGAGCTACATCCTCATTGCACAGGGTATGGTTTCATCAGAGTTTCACTCCTCCCTCCCAGGCACCAAAGTTCCAGCAGAGCACATGAACCAGGGCTGAATCCAAACTCAAGTCAAAGTCTAAACTAACATGCAGGTAATCAGGACAAGGAAGGAGCTAACACAACAGCATACATCTTAAAGGCACAACCATAACTTATGCTTGGAGGAACCAAATCTCTGCAGGTACCCCCCTGAATGACTTAGATGAATCCCATACAACACTGATTTCAGGTTGTGCAGCTTGGCAGTGTTTAAGTAAGCACACAGTTACTGCCTAGGCCAGCCATACTGGGATACAGCAACCAACAGAAGTAGCAAGAGCTTCCCAGATTTCAGTGGCTACTGCTGTCTTTTAAATCCTGTGAAGGGACAAGAGTTTCATACACAGAGTAGCTGGAGTAAAGCCAGGACTGTACCTCCACATCAAAGCTCCCCTTCAGCACTTCACCATTTGCAACCATGGAACAGCTCTGAACAGGCTGAAGAAGACCTGCACAACACCACATACGTTGCCCAGGCTGACCTGGTGAGCTGTCTAGACCTGTTCCACTTTTTGAGCAAATTCCTTAGCTGCTACAGAAGAGAGTGAGAGCTTCCCCTTCTCCATGTGCCTTTTCACCAGCATGACACCGCTCAACTTTTTTGACCATTCCCAGGGAGGGATCCCATATAGGGCACCTCTGGGCAGCCCGAGCTCAGGCAGCTAAACTTCAGGAAGAAGGAATTTCAGATCACATACGCACTTAACATAATCCATCATCAAGTTCCAGTCAGCTCCCTGCTCAGCACGCAAGCTATGTGGATTGTGCTCAGATGCCTGCCTCTCCTCATGCCCTGTACAGCAAACACTCAGCCACGATGTTTGGACTTCATTCAGCAAGCCAGGCAAGGGACACAACGCAGTAAATGGCTTCTAAGTATCTCAGTCTTTAATATGGACCAGTCTATAATAACTGGTCCATAGTCACAGAACAAATTCAAATTCAAGACCCAGCCCTCAGTCACTGAACCACACTGCCTCCCTGTTGTTTTCCTGCACAGCTCAAGGGCCAGCATGAGCTCTCAGAAAGCTTCATTAGTTTTTGCTGACTTTACCAGGGCACAGTGCGGTTCTTAATACAGGCTAATCTGTGCTGGAGGCAGTCACTAGAGCTTCAGCATTAACAGCAACACTACTGCATGCCCAAGCACAACAAAATTGCGTGGGAGCAGCTTTGGGCACCACTGCTCAGGGTGCTGTACACACAGCTGAGAGAGCTGCTGAAGGCAGCGACCCAGCCCAAAATAGGCACTCGTGAAGATGCAGCTTGTCCAGAGGGAAGACACATCCCACATCCCGGAGGTGCATGCAGTACAGGTGACAAGCTTTGGCTTAAGGAGAGAAGGCATAATTCATCCACCCGGAGACTGCAGCACAGTCTCTCCAAGAAGTACAGACATTTGCCAGGATCCCCTAAGGTAGTTGTGTAAGCAACAGCAGTGCCCCAGGCAGAGCATTACCTAAGAGCACACTGAAGGAGAAACTCAGACACTTTACCTCAGCTCCCAGCGCTATAAGGGTCTCTATGAGAACTGCTGTCTGCACAGTCATGTGAAGACAACCAGCAACGCGTGCACCTTTCAGTGGCTTTGATGCAGCATACATCTCCCGCATCTTCATCAACCCTGGCATCTCATTCTCCGCAATCTCAATGGCCTTGCGACCCCAGTCTGCAAGGCTGATGTCAGCTGCAAGGGAAGGAGGACAGGTGTCAGAGTTTAAATAGCTGAGACCTTGGTATCTGTTCACACACTTCTGGATAGGCATCAGCTGCAACAGCTGAACTGAATACCCAACAACAGCTGGGAGACAGAGCTGGGAGAAAAAGGGACCCTATTCCAGTTACTCCCTGCTTTTTTACTATGGTGCACAGGCTTTTAAACAAGTTTAACCCAAACCTCACAGCCCTTCTGAAAAAAGTGTGCTCTTGTATGAGCATATTAATCAACTGTGACCTAGTCTGCAGATATCCTGAGGCCTGTTAATTCAGTAAGCCCCAACCTTAAGCACTCCTCCTTACAGATACTGCCCAAGGGTCTGACACTTCCTGCAGAGATTTACTTCCACAGTACTAAGACTTGCAAGGGGAGAGGGGCTGCCTGTACAGCAATAGCTTCCTCACCTGAGAACGCACACGGACTGCTCCCTGCCAAGGGCATCAGGAGCTGAGCCCAGCATAGCTCCCCCTCTTTGGAGCTAAGCTGCAGGGTTCCTACCCCCTTGGATCCACAGACTATTCTCAAGGCACCATAATTGCCTGAGTTACAAGTCTGCTTCTGCCTTTGTAAAAAGGACCTACAATAGAAAAGTTCAGCAAGAACTGAACAAGAGAGACTTCTGACAGGCTAACTCGGGGTAGGAAATACTGCCATTACCATGGATGTTTAACTCCAGCCTTAAAAAGACAAGGGTCAAACAGGTAATTCTGAGGTGCACCACGGGCCAACACCAAGTATCCCTCTTACTAAGTTGTTAGCTCTTTCAGAGGAAGCTTCAGATGGTTACCAGTTCACTTAAGAACAGTCAGACACTTTTCTTCCACCCACCTCATGAACACTGGCTGTTAAACTGGCACCCGGGAGCAGTAGGACCTCCAAGTCAGACCGCTGTGTTTCATACAGACAAGCTAATTGCATTTCGTTCCAGAATGAAGCCTAGGCACCACTACTGCCTGTGCTCTAGGTGACAGGGTGCAGGCTTTACACCAACAAGGGACTGAAAAAAGCCTAGGCAATGGAAGGACCACGGAAACAACTATATCAAGGTGGGGGGTCTTGAACCTTACTCCTCTTAAGAGCTTGGTAGTTCTACCAAGGCTGCTTAAAATTATATCCTGTAGTATTTCAGGTTCACAGCCTCCAAGGCAAATTATGAATCTGACCCTTAGAGACTAACGTTCTCTTTGAACTCAGCCTTCAGAGAACCCACAACGCTATAAAAATCAGGGTTTTTTTTCGTGGCGTTTCAGGTCTACAAAAACGCCCGCCAAAAATCTTTAGGGAAAGGCGCAGCACAGGTGGCAGCCTGGAAGCCTCCTCGAGGCGGGGGGGACAGCCTGTCCCCAGCGGGGGGTCCCTGCAGGGCGGCCGTGCCCGCCCGGGCTGCGGGCTCCGGACCGGGGGAGCGGCACCACGGCGGCCGCAACCCCCCCCGCTCCCGCCGAAAGCCACGGCGGCCTCACAGACCCGCTGCGACCCCCAGGGGCGGCCGCCTTCGTCCTCCGCGGGTGTCTCAGCAAACGCGGCCCTTCCCCAAGCCCAAGGGGAGGGGGGGGATCAGGCTACGGTTCCCCCTGCCCGCGCTCCCCGCGGCGGAACGGCGAACAGGCAGCTGCCATCTTCCCCCCCTTCCTCGCCTCTCCGCCGCCGCATCCAGTCGCGGCTCCCCCAGCCCGGCCGCGGCCCGAGCCAGGCGCACCGCCCTCGCCTCCCGCCGGCGGGGGAGCCGCCAGAGCCCCGCAGAAGGCGGGCCGGGCCCGGGGCGCGCACTCACCCACTTTGTACGGCAGCCTGTCCGACATGCTGGCGAGGCGCTGGCAGCAGCGACCGACAGAGGAGGAGGCAGCGGCGGGGCTGAACGCGCTTTAACTAGAGGCGGTGCCACCGCCTGCGTGGGGCGGGACGGGGCGGGACGGGGCGGTGCTGCGGCCCGGCCGCTGGCGGCGTGAGGGGGGCCTGGCGGGCACTGGCGCTGCCGCTGCCGCCGCCGCCTGCTCCTCCTCCTCCTCTCCGGCCGCTGCTGGGGTCGTGGGGCCGGGTCGGCCGCGGAGCCCGGCAGAAGCTGCCCCGCCCCCGGGACCCCAGTGGGCCCCAGTGGCCTCCCCGGGGCCAGAGTGAGCCCCAGAGGCCTCCCCGGTACCCCAGTGAGTACCAGAGGCCTTCCCGGGCTCAGTGGGCCCTAAAGGCCTTCCCAGGACCACAGTGGGCCCAGAACCACCCCAGGGCATGCTGTGGCACCCATGGGTGCCTGGAGCACCCCTGCCACCCATTGCTGCAGGGCCAGGACAGGCCCCGGTCCCCAGTGCCAGCAGTGGCCATGGAGCGGCTGTGGGCACTGGGCAGGCCGCACACCCCTGCCCACACGGCCGGCAGGTTCCCCAAACCATCCTCTGGGTTCGTTCGTGTCAGCGGTGACTCTGAGGCCTGCGGGACCCTCGAGGTGCAGCAGGATGGAGGGCAGCGTGCCGCCTCAGCCAGGCAGGCCTGCGAGGCAGGGCAGCGCGCTGGGGAGACGCCACGCAGGCAGCACCGAGGCGCAGTGCCCCAGCGGCTCTATCTGCCCGGACCTTGGACTTGGCCATGGCCTGTTCCTCCGCGCAGCCCAGAGCCGGTTTGCCAGGTGCAGGGCAGGAACAGCGCGGGCAGGAGCTGCCCCTGGGCACAGCCAATGCCCGCTGCACGCGCAGGAGGCAGAGCCCTGCTCCGGCCTTGTCTGCGGGTCACGTTCGCTCATGTTCTAACATGTGAAATACGTTTTTCATAAGCTTCAGTCATAAACTGGTGCGAACTCTGCAACCAGGGTGTCATGCACCTCTTTTTATCTGTGAAATATTTCAAAGTGAAGATTTCCTCATACTTACCCATAAATTTTCACTGAACTACTTTGCAAAGTTTGAAATAATTCTCTGGCAGAGTTCATCCCAACGCCCCAACTTGCAGTGCTCCCCATAAATGAGGTTCAGTATTTGTTATCTGAGCAGCGGACACACTGAGTCAAGATATTTGTCTTTGCTGCAAGCTCTGCAGAATCGGGTGCCAGGCGGTTAACACCAGCCAGCACAGCACACATTGCAGACAGTCCCAGATTTACAGTGATAAGATTTACAGTGATAAGATTGGTGAGTGACAGTTCCTTCAGCACCCCTCAGTGTAGATGTGCATTCAGGTTCGTGTTTGGAACATTTTGGGAGAACCCCTTAATTAGCATGCTCATTATCTACCAGAGGGTATGCGTTTTAGTATTATAATCTCCTCAGGCTCCTCTTGGACACACTCTTATCTTGACTCCATTCCCAAGACGACATGTCTACACTCAGATCGGAGACTGGGAGTGTACTCCCTCAGTGGCCTTGTTCGCCTACAGTGAGCTCTCGATTCAGTAATCCTTCAGCAATTCCATTTTTTTTTATCTATATTTCGGTTAATTGTTTCTACATCTCGTCCAGGTAGATGTGCAAGGACACAATTAAGCTTCACTGGTTTTCTACATGTAGTGCAAGAGGCCCAATTCAGTTTTAATTTCAGGAGTGCAGCTAAATATCAATCAAAGTTCTATTACAATTGCATACAACATGCTTATATAGCTTTTTAACCATATTTTTTTGACATCACCAGCACACCCGATACCATACCAAACAGTTCTGTAAACCAAAAGGTGCCCAAAGGAGCAGCATGTCTATTCCCCTGGGACAGGTTCATCTAAGTCAGTCTTTCATCAGTTTATGTCCCCAACAACTTTTTTGTCACTGCTTGAATGCACTGTTTCGCAGCAGCAGGACAGGCGTTCAGGCTCTGTCCGTTCCTCATCCACTCGTCCGAGACACCGAGGGTGTATCGCTGGCAGACCACAGTTTCTGCCTGCTTCTGCATGCCTGCCTCTGCCAACAGGCAAACGGGGGTCTTCCCAATAGCCCTGCGCCGCGCAGTGTGACCTCAGGGCCACAAAATGCTCCAAATGCACCTCGCATTAGGTGCCAGCCCACAGCCCCCCCAGCAAGCCTGATTGTCAGTTTGTCAGTTATAGTCCACCTCTTTATGTGCTAACCCACAGCAACCCCTACATGTGAAATGTCCTTCCTAAATGAATGAGCAAGGCCAGAACAAAGACATCATTTTGTGTAACTCCCACTAATTTCAGCTGGAGGCATACTTCCCTGCGAAGGCTGAAAGGGACCGGCACCTGCCTGCAGCTAAGCGGAGGAGTGGGTGGCAGGAGCTGACAGTTTTTATTAAATGAGGACAGATCAGCTCCACCTAGCGTGCTTGTCAAAATATCCTCGCTTGTTTATAACTGCATAAGGAGTGCTTAAAGCATGCTATAGTGGCATGGTTTGCCCCGACTCTCTAATTTAGGTGATTAATACCTCACAGCACTGTATCGTACTACATCTTAATGTGTAAGTAGTCCATACCTTGACTGCTCATATACAGCCTGGTCCTTTCATTGTTGCTGTCATTGGTGGATTTGGGACACCAGGTGGCATGAGATAAGCATGAAATGGAGGGAATAGGATGTAGTGAAGAAGAAGGAACAGGAAAAAGAACAGAAGAGTACAAAACCCGCTACCTAACAGAGTACATGAAACAATAACAGGATGTTATTCATGTTATACATCCTGTAACTGTTTCATTTACTGTCGTAGTTCAAGTAGGGAAGTTCTGGCTTGTAAATGCAAATATCTCACAGTCACTGAAAAGCTGTGAAACCCAGGGAAAGAAAACACTTTTTAAAAAAATGAGAATGTGACATTTCTTCAGAACGATATTTAAAAAAAGATTGGGTTTACTGGCATGGGCAGGAAATACTGTAGATTTCAAGAGAAGGAGAAAGCATCAGCCTAAGCTGCTGTAGAATGCAGGTGATACTTCACACAGGTGCTCCATACAAAGCCAGGTAGTTGCTTGACCAGGGGAATTTATATACTATATACATTATAAGACAGATTTTGTGCAATCTGATAGGGTTTTTTATTAGAAGAATGCCTGTGATTTGTTCAGTAGGATTCTCACTCGACAGTGCACTGGGAGTATCTGTGCTGAGTGTGAATTAGCAATGCGCAGAAAAGGAGGCTGTTTTTCACAGGATTTCATTTGTCACAGCGGGTAGAAGATGGGTATCAAATAGTGGCAAGAATGGTCTGACCATGCAGCGCCATGGGAGCCTGGAGAACTGGGTTCTATCCCTACCACAGCACCTCCTCCCCTTGCAGTGCTGGCTCAGTCCCTTAGGACAGGCTTTCCGTGACTGATCATTAATTGCATATTCATTTTCTAAGTGCCCATGGCAAGCATCCTCTGCTCTTTCCTATTCTTTGACCAATGTTCTGCCAGGCTGCATGGACTGAAGTCCACAGTACGTCACTGACGTTAGAAAATGCAGCACAATGCCAAACACTGACAAAACAAACCTTGCATGTCTCAAAGTGGTACCCACAACCAATGAGAACATTTGATGTTTATATTCTGTACTTCAGTTCGCGTTTACCCAAAAACTGCAGACAATGATTTCACTTTCCCACTGGCTTACATACACATTGCTAAAATAAATTCATTGCTGCCTGTGAAGCGCTATGATATTGTGGCAGTAGCATTCAGGAGCACCCTGAATTAGGAAACTAATGTTGCTTTACCCTGCGTCGAGGCTTGATGAGGGGTGAAGAAGGATCCCCATAGTGAGTGACGCAGATGAAAGAGGTGCTGCTCAACTACTGTTCCAGCTGGCGCAAGCCATTCTGTGCAGAGGCAGGCGCAGTGCTTGATGATCCAGTTAGATCCTATCATGGTAAATGTCACAAGGTGCCTAATGAAGGTTGTACCAGTGATGCCATCACTGGCGTCTTCTAAGTAAAGTGCTTTGCTCTGTAGCCTTGCTGCTTGTGAGGGCCCCAGCCAGCAGCTGAAGGTTGCAGCAGCCTTCTTATATGCACTCTGGATGACTCACACTGCTAATTTAGCTTATAAGGGATTGTCCTGGTTCCGGCAGGGATGGGGTTAATCTCCCCCGGAGCCGGCAGGGGGCAGGGATTCCCTTCCACGTGACCCATGCCCGGGCTATAAGAGGAGCTAGCCGGGGCGAGGAGAGGAGTCGCCACTCGGGGGTGGGCTGCGGCGGTGCGGGTCCGGTCGGTGCGCTTCGCGGCGGTACTGTAATCGCGTTTTTGTCTTTTCCTTTTGCTGTTCTGTTAAATTGCACTCTTTTAACCCACGAGTTTGGCCCTGTCATTTTCTTTTTCCACGACTGTGGGAGTTGTGCGAGCGGCCGCGTGGTTCTTTGTTGCTGGCTGAGGCCAAACCACGACAGTTCTTTTTGGCGCCCAACGTGGGGCCTGAAGGGTTGCAATAACAAATTTCTTGTATCCATTTCCCATATTGGCTGGATAGTTGCTGGTTACAATGTTACTTTGTTTGTTTGCGTGGCTGTGCTTTGCAAATTCTTACATGCTCTATCTGCTCCCCGTGATGCTGTTTGTTATCTTGGGGAGAGGGATCAGGGCTATAATTTTGCTGTTGTGTGCAATTTCAGCTTATGATATGATAACATCACTATTGAAGTGGCTTTGTTGGGGTGTCTATGCAGTATTGCTGTCTTGTCCATACCTTGGTTATCATCTTTCAGAAGTTATTAATAATATCACCCAATCTATGGGAGAAACAGGGGGAGATACTTTCCCCAGCTCTTTTGCCTCCCTTTTCTCCTTTGGGCCAGATAGGACACCTCTTGAGAATTTTGAATATCCTTGGGATGCTCAAACCAGCATGTTTCTATTGCTATGCCTCCTGAATGTTTTTCAGATCTTGTTTAGGGTTAAACAACTGTTTAAGACTACCACCCAGAGATCTGC